GCGAGATCGAGAGAAAGATGATGAAAGAGAAGGAGAAGGAAGACCGGAAGTCGACGAGCGCCGCGAGAAAGTTCTTCCGGCGCAGGAGTAGCACGGAAACCGGAAGCATGCAATCCTCTTCCGTTTCGTCTACTGTACGTACCCACCCGAGTCTGCACGCGCGAAAATTCAATAAACACATAGGAACGCACGCACGCACGCACGCACGCACGCACGCACGCACGCACGCACGCACGCACAGGCGCACACACACACGTACACCCGCACGTACACACACACACACGTACACCCGCACGCACACACACACGCACACACACGCGCGCGCGCGCGCGCTCAGACAAACAAAAGCTTAATCTAAACACTGCGAATGTGTGCGGTTACAAGCCGTAGCGACACGACTAGTGTTTTTTAGCGAAAATAACTCTCGCAATTTCTCGTCGCTGTATGGCGAGCGGCGACAGCGCCGATGCCGACGATGACGATGGAAAGGTCCTGGAGATAACACATAACCTTAACCGTAAACCCGCACCTCTCGTTACATCACCGGGTGCTAGTGTTGCATCGACGCAACGACGCATTACGCGCAACACACGCAGCAACCGATGCCGCGCCGAGTGGCGTGTAGTGTACATGTATGTGTGTGTGTGTGTGTGTGTGTGTGTGTGTGTGTGTGTGTGTGTAGNTGCGTGCGTGCGTTCCTATGTGTTTATTGAATTTTCGCGCGTGCAGACTCGGGTGGGTACGTACAGTAGACGAAACGGAAGAGGATTGCATGCTTCCGGTTTCCGTGCTACTCCTGCGCCGGAAGAACTTTCTCGCGGCGCTCGTCGACTTCCGGTCTTCCTTCTCCTTCTCTTTCATCATCTTTCTCTCGATCTCGCGCAGGAACTTCTTGTCGACCTTCTCCTGAACCTTCTCGTCTTTCGACTTGCGGTCTTTCTTCTTCGTCTCTTGCTGTTTGTCATACATCATCTTGTAGAAGATTCTGCGAAATAAAATTTCGAGTTGAAAAGAAGACGACGTCGCCGACGCGGAAATCTTTCGCCGCTCGTCGATAACTGCGCATGCGCGGTCAGCCTCGCTAATTTCCCCCGAGAGGCGACTTCGATCGTTGAGAAATCTCCGATTCAATTTCGGTAAGCGAATAAAGCGCTCCTGGCGGCGGACGGGGTGCAAAGCGGAATCACCTTAATTCTCGCTCGTCAGATGGAAAATGCGAAAGAAATACCGGCGGAATGCGTGCTAACGTGAATCGAGATCCCTGCGCGCACAAGTACGAACTGCTACGTGCGCGCACATACAGCGGTGCACGTACTCATATGCGTGCACGCACAGTGGTGGGCGTGCACACACACACACACACACACACACAAACACACACACATGCGTGCGCGCGCACACACACACACACACACACACGCACGCACNACGACGACGACACACACACACACACACACACACACACACACACACACACACACACACACACACACACACACACACACACACACACACACACACACACACACACACACACACACACACACACACACACACACACACACGCACACACACGCACACACACACTGTACGGATATTAACTGTTCGTTGCGCCTTTTATGTTGCAGGCGTTCCTAGCTCGCCGCGATCGCCGCGTCGGCAACATCCGGGCTACTTCCAGGAGGAAGGCAATGACTTCTCACGCTTCGACAACAAGGCAGGACTCGCCGAGGATTTGAAATTCCTCGCAAGCATGCCCGAGCTGTGTGACGTCACGTTCTTAGTCGGCGCCAAGAAGGAGCCCGTCTGCGGAGTCAAGTCGATTTTGGCGGCTCGCAGCAGGTTCGTGTGACGACGTGTTGGCAGTCTATGTACGCCGCTCTTCGTATCTTTCTCCCGGGAGCGCTCGGTCGGGCCCTGTTGGGCCAGAAGATGCGATAATGATTGACTACCTAGGCACTTTAATTTATTTAATGTTTTTTTTTAGGTTAGGGTTTAGGGTTAGGTTAGGCGTTAGGGTTGGGTTTTTTTTCTCAAGTGCTAGTAGTATATCCTAAGGCCTAGTAGTCATATCATATCGCATCTATCTGCCGGGTGCTTCTTCTCCTCCCCCTACACTCACCCCGCAGCGCTCTCTGGTGAGAAATTCGTAACGTATGTAGAGCGGATGTGTTCCGGATGTGATACTGTCGTGGCGGGGAAGGCGGATATAGTCTGATGTAGCGGAAATGCCACTTGAAAGAGAGCCTTGACGTGTTCGATAAGAATGGGTCTTGTGGTGACCCTCATAATACATAACACTATAAATGTCACTATAAAATATAGTAATAATAAATGATAATAATAATAATAAATAAATAAATACTAAATAAATAGCGTAGGTTAACTAATAGGTAGCCGATTAAGTAGCAGGCCAGACGACGATACGTAGCCGGTCATGCGCGTCGTTGCCTGCCGTACAAACGCCAGTAGTTCATTCCAGCGTCCAAAAGTCCGTTTTAATTAATTTTTTACTTCGGCGGAAATTAAATTTCTATAATCTATTGTATATTCTATATTCTCCCTCTCTCGATATATATATAATAGAGAGAGAGAGAGAAAGATCGAAAGTGAGAGAGGAGAGAAACGGGGTGACGCGATGAGAGAGAGAGACGCAGGAGAGAGAGATCGAGGAGAGACGAGAAGAGGAGAGAGTCAGAGAGCACGCGAGAGAAAGAGATAAAGAGAGAGAGGAGCGAGAGATAGAGAGGAGAGCGAGAGAGAGCAGAGGAGAGAGAGACGAGAGACGAGAAGAGAGAGAAAGAGAGAGAGGAGAGGAGAGGAGAGAGAGAGTGAGACGACGAGAGAGGAGAGACAGACTGACACACAAAGAGAGAGAAAGAGAGAGAGAGGAGAGCAGAGATCATTCTCGCAATAGTAAAAAGCTATATAATGCGGTTAGATTCTCTCCGTGCGCGAGTGGAAACGACCGGCGGCGGAATCGCGAACTTCAGCAGACATTTAATCAGACGACGGTGAGGGAGGTGGGAGCGGGGCTCGGATCGCGGAGCCGGTACTTCGCCTCGTTGTCGCTCCGGCCACGTGACGCTACGCCTCGCGCGCTGTACTTCGCTCGGCACGCGTGATCCGCTACGCTCGCGCATGTACCTGTCGTCGGCCGACGGTGATCGCCTACGCTCGCGCTTACCTGTCGTCGCGCACGGTGACCGACCTGACGCTCGCGCTGCTTACCTGTCGTCGGCCACGGTGATCGCTACGCTCGCGCTGTACTTTCGTCGGCACGGTGATCGCTACGCTTCGCGCTGTACGCGTGTCGTCGGCACGGTGACCCGCCTCACGTCGCGCTTTGTACCTGTCGCTCCGCACGGCTGATCGCTACGCTCTCGCGCTGCCTACCTGTCGTCGGCACGGTGATCGCTACGCTCGCGCTGTACCTGTCGTCGGCACGGTGATCGCTACGCTCGCGCTGTACCTGTCGTCGGCACGGTGATCGCTACGCTCGCGCGGTACCTTGTCGTCGCACGTGTGATCGCTACGCTGACGCTGTACTGTCGTCGCACGCCGTGGTCGCTACGCTCGCGCTGTAACCTGTCGTCGCCACGGGATCGCTATCTCG